ATATATATGTATATATATTGCATTTTCACTTTGATGATTTTAATAAGATTTTGCAAGAAAAAGTCTACTCCATACATTTTCTCTTGGGAAACTTACATACATACCACAAAATTATAATTTATTTACATGTCTGACATCTAAACATTCATATTTATATTTATAGTATTTTGGTATGATAAATGTATGCATGAATAAATGGATTTCAATTTTGAAAAATAGGTGATAGTCATATTTTTTATGTGATATTAAAAATTTGAATGGTATATATGTAAATATTAAATTTAAAATATTAGATGTGAAAATACAAAAAATTGCCTTGGTATGTATGTAAATGTCCCCTTCTTCTTTTAATCTATGTGATAAGTAAATCCCAAACAAAGACAAATGAAACTCTCATAAATATTTTTTGACTTAATGATCTACACCTAATAAGATATAAACTATGCCTCACAATTTAATAAAATGCACCACATATTAGGGCTGTTAACGAGCCAATTGCTCAAATGAATTGAGTTCGGATTGAAATCGGCTTGTGACTTGTTATATTCAATCTCAAGCCAGCTCGCCTTGAGATTGAATCGAGCTCAAAATTGATATGAACTACCTCAAATTTGAGTTATCTCTCAAGCCAGCTCGCCTTGAGATTGAATCGAGCTCGATTGAGCTCAAAATTGATATGAACTGCCTCAAATTTGAGTTATTTGGATCTGTTTCAACTCGAAATCGGCTCGAAATCATTACAAGGTTGCTCAAATTGAGTTATTCGGATCCATTCCAGCTCGAAATATGCTCGTACCATGTTATATTCAATTTTATATAGCATTGCATATAATTTTTATAAATAAAATTTTCTTTGAGCCAATCTCGAGCCTGTTCAAGCCGATTCGTTACTTCGAAATTGATTTAAAAAAAAAAAAAAAATTCGTTCCAAAATTTGGCTCATACTCAGCTCGTTTATTTTGATCTGAGCAAAAATTCGAATCAATTTCCCAGCGATTAACGATCTTCGAGCTCAATTCATAGCCCTACCTTACATACAACTTATTTATAAAATAAACAAACATGGGTCATTAAATATAACTAAATCCAATGATGCTTCTTTCATGCAAATAGTGTTTTGCATTACAATAATTTTGCATGGATCGGGTCATATGAAGCGGTGAAGTTCCATAACAGAGAGAAATGTTAGAATTGTCGAGTCATATTTGGCTTTAATGTGTGGTTGAATGGGCTCCAAACGTTAAAATAGATGAATGAAAACTCAAAAAAACTTACATTTAACAAAATATTTTTCATTTTAATAAAGAAAAAAGGCAGTATGAATTTATAAATTATTGTAAATTAAATTATCTCATATTATAAATTTTAATATTCAATTTTAAAATATTAAACTTTTTTTTTCCAAAATACTATAATGATAA